TCATGGGAACAACTCAAAAGTGGCTCCATGGCACTTTAGACGCAGAATATGGAGCAAGATACGATTCTTACATCCAAACCTTGAACGAAAATCAACAAATACTTGAGAAAAATCTGAAAAGCCAATCCCAAATATTAAAAAAAATTACGAAAACGTTTCATAACCAATTCTTAACTATTGAGACAAAGACAGTATCATGTTTCGGATTAATCAGAATGAACCTCATTCTCTTGGTCATCCTTATGGGAACCGCCCAAGCAGCATACATGATAACAACATTGGAAAATCCCGTACTTCCTATTTCCCTGGGAGCTACCTATATAACTAGTCAACATAACAGGGTATACTACCACATAAATATGACAATTATACTGCAAGGTATATAAAAAAATATTGAATGGTACAACATGGTCTAGTTATTTTTCAAAATTGTTTCAAACAAATATTGAAACAAGTAAATCTCAAATGGAAATCATGAAACAAACTATTAAAGGTCTTAACAGTAGAAGAAGTAAAAGAGGATTTTTAAATTTCATGGGAACAACTCAAAAGTGGCTCGATGGCACTTTAGACGCAGAATATGGAGCAAGATACGATTCTTACATCCAAACCTTGAACGAAAATCAACAAATACTTGAGAAAAATCTGAAAAGCCAATCCCAAATATTAAAAAAAATTACGAAAACGTTTCATAACCAATTCTTAACTATTGAGACAAATTAAAAAAATGATATTTAATAGGATACAAAACATTTCCATTGATTACCAAAATCTACATATCATGTTAGATTTGAATTCTATATTAAATAATATCAATATGAAAGGTCCAAACCATTTGTATTATGTAAAATCTAACCTATACCAATCCAAGACCTTATCGTTAAAAGTAAGAATCCGTACCTACTACTTACGACGGACATTTACTACAACCTGTATATGGAATGCCCTCAACTAGAAGATGTACACATATGTAATCAAGAAACACTGAAACAAGAAGATTTATGTATCTAAAATCTGATCAGCAAAGCACAATAACTATTTTCCCTCTCAAAAATACATTATGACAAACCAACAGTTAGGCAACTTCTTAATGGTCAACTACTAGCGATCCTGAAGAAGAGCCTGACGATAGTAACCAATAGGGTACTTGCATGGAAAATTAAATTGATTATTGTTTATTGCAAACTGTAGGAAATCGAAAAAAAATCATTACTTTTTTTTCATTTCGCCCAAATATGATTATTTCGGAAGTTATACAAATATTAAGTTTTGTATATATAGATATAGTGAGCATGTGCGACGTCATAAAGTATTATACCTGATGACGTCATAGGCATATTTCATAGCGTTGTATCTCCGTCAATTTTTGACTAAGAAGAAAAAGAAAAAACACGTGTTGACTTATTTTTGATGGACTATCGAAATCAGCAATAAAAAAATTTGATGCAAGGGGCCTATTGCGAAAAAATCAATCACATTGCGATAATCACTAGTCCAACATTAATTGATCTTGAAGAATGTCAAGTTAATATAATAAACCAGACATTCAAAGATTAATAGAAATTTTAATTTTGAATTGAAAATTTCCAAAATAAATATTCCGGAATCATCAGAAAATACTACTACCTTAGAGGTCAAAGAAATTGATCATGAAGAATAATTACAAGAAGCTGATAGACTACAAGTTCAGCCTCTATATTAATTAGCTTATTTAAACAATAATGTTAACACTTATATAATCATAGGTTTACCCATTTTAATTATTTCCATTTTATTATTGTATTTTTACAGAAAATGTAAACAACGAAAAACGCAAACAAATATATAAATTGAATTATCTGACCTATCGGAGGTACAAGAATCCCAATTTACAACAGGTTAAGGAGGGAGGAGTTATATATTTCAAATCCTGTATAACTAAATACAGTTGTTTACCTTATTTATAAGCTTTTAGGAGCTTACCACTAATTACGCTTTAGTTTTGGCCATTTTATGAAAGTAGGGATAAGAATTGTTAACGTTGCAATTATTTTAATATTTAAGTCGGTGCAAGCTTAAGACATTGTTCTAGTATTTTCAGGCCTAGCCAGAGTAATTAGTTCCAACTGTAATTCGTATGTTACTTAACCACATTTTTATTTTTATATTTTAAGTAAATTGCTTTTAAAAAGGTAAATTTCTGATATAAATACATAATTTACTGCACAATATTTACATGACCAGTTTTCATTCAGCTGATACCGCCCTTGTTACACAAAAAATAATACTAAATTAGAAATAAAAAATTTCCCGGAAAAACAATACTTCCATGATGGCTACCTTCTTTGATGTCACGCTTTTGTAAACAAACCGTCGATGGAGAACTTGCAAGTGGAATAAAATTTACAAAAGCAGTCAATTACAATATACTTCATCCATTGCAACAATTTTTACAAAAAGCAAACTTCAACACACTTACATAACACAAAAACAGCACTGCGTCAGCAGGAGTTCGTTTGTTGCGATTGTTGTTTACAAATTCTTGACGTCGCAAGCACCGCCATATAACGCGTGGTGTTTCCGCGCTAAAGTTTTCAACTTAAATTTCAATTAAAAGAAATTCGTACAACGTATAAATTGAAATAAGAAAAAAAGAAAAGAAAACAATGTAATATGTGAATTATTTAAAAATAAATAATATATTATGTAGGGGAGAAGTGTCATGAAAGGGACATTTTATCTACTTGGTATCACAGCTCACTAAAAAATCGGTCTAGAACCGCGGCAATAGCCGTGATTTAAGGTCTATATATTTGTTCAACGAAGTTGAGCTGCAAAAAGCTTTTGCAACAAGTAGTGTCGGTGAGTATGATTTAGAAAAAAAATGGAATTTGTCCCTTTCATAACCACATATGTATTGAAAGCGACAACAAAATTATTGAAAGGGACATTCACAAGAAGGGAGAAAAAACGTTTATTTATAAGAAAAAACATCAAGTTTAACACTTCTTATAACTATTCAAATCCATTGTAATATGACAAGTCAATAGAAAAGGATAAAAAGCCTTCAACTCTCTTAGTTCCAGTCATTTTCATAGGCTCTGGGTGCTTATTCTTGAAACAGGGGAGCAGCGTTTCCAGGAGTACGAGTGTTCCGTTTTTGTTACTTATATTATCATTTCCATATCATTGAGAAAGACAGAACGCTCATTCTCCTGGGGGAACGCTGCTCCCCTGCTTCAAGAATAAGGACTCTGCTGGAAGCTTTAGTACGATATCACTCAGATTAACGTCAAAAGGAGGCTCACTTTCAGAAATTTTAAACGTGTCAGGCCTATTAGATTTTTTTAAAAACTTAACTGTGAACTCGTCCTCTTTAATTTCCTTCAATACTTCCTTCAATCGTTTTCTTGGCGTATTATTCTGAAGACAACTTACTTCTGAAGACAAAAAAAATTACTTGAATATTAACAAAGGCTTAGTTAGTAGTTCGTACTGAAATGTTCAAATTGAAAGATTTGTCTTTTGAAAATTTGAATTTCAACCATTTCAAAAAATAGCCTTTTATGTAGGCTACTATTTTTTGAACGTGTGATATTTTACTAATATTGGAATTCATTTTATAAAAAAAAAAGAAGTAATGAAAGGGACACGTCCCTTTCAACACCGAATGATATGTCCCTTTCATCACCTGTGGATGATTTCTTCAAAATCAACTCATTACAAAAAAACTATTGAATATTTTGCAAATTTAATCACACGTTATAGAGTGTAAACAATTAAAACCTACGTTGACAATAAATTTACTGGAAATTCAGTATATTTCAGTACTTATGGTGATATAGGTATTCGTAAGAAAACACACGACAAAATTGACCGTTGAAAACCACCTAAAGCAAAAAATTGTTCTGGAACGTACCAAATCGTTTTCCGCTAGGGTGCAGAATGTTTGTGTGGTGGGGGCATCACGTACAACAGCTGGGAGAGTTATTGAAGTAATAAGAGTTGCCTAAATTGCAGGTGTCCCTATCAATACGCGTCCCTTTCATGACACTTCTCCCCTACTCTATTCCGAACCTAATGAAGGTTATGTTCTTGTAGACTCGGCGTTACTGTTTCAGGAATCGAACATTATCGATGTGATTTGCTGTCAATACGAAGGCCTGAAATCCTACAAGTAGAACACATGTCTTCGCAGTAGCGAAATTGTTAAATATTTATTATTGAATCATTTTGACAGGTTTCTTTCTGTAGGAAAGTTTGCGTGTTTTCTCAGTGTTCCAGCTCAATTAAATGTTGTTTCTTCTGTTCTGCTTACCTAAACTTTTTAAATATTTTCTTCTCCATTTAGTTTTCATATTTGTCTCGAAATCTGAAAATTCAAGAAGTGCCTAGATAATAGATATATTTTTTTGAACTATTCAAACTGAATAGGTACCTACCTTTTCCTATGTACCTACATAATCCCTATGCCTAACTGGGTTCGCTTTTCACAAATTATCAATTTAGATGAATTTATGACGTAAAATTTTTCTTTTAGTTTCAATTTGGGGAAAATTTACCTTGGAATTGTAGACTTCCCTAGGTACAATGCCTCCAAAATTGATACTAGAATAGCTGAAATGAGTTCAAATTAAATTGCATTGTTTGTCTAGTGAGTTTAGTGGTAGTGCAATGATGAGGAAAGTCTGTAATCAGTTGGTATGTTGCTTCTCACGTTGAATAACGAGGATATATTGAGTTGAAGAGATCTGTATTATTCCGCTAATAAAGGCTAAATTTGCCTACAGCCTGAACAATCAAAATTAAAATTAGCATAAAATTAGCATAAATATTCTCACTCATAGATATTCCCACCTCGCGATAAAGCAGTAGCATTGCATTGCATTTAGTTAGAAACCTTTAAAAACGCACTAGCCGCTGTGGACCTTCGTCCTGTCCCAGCAGAAATACCTATTTACTTTTATAGTCCTACCGCATCAAGTTAGCGCTACATAGTTTTGTCACCTATAAAAACCAAAATGGGTTCTGAAAATGAAGATCTAAGCAACAGAGAATTACTAGCCGCACTGAACACGAGATTAGGCGAAGTGGAAAATGCTTTGACTGCCAAAATTGCCCACGAAGTTGCCGAAATAAAGAGTGAGGTTGGCGATATAAAAGGAAATTGCTCCGAATTGTCTAGCCAATTAAAATTCATAGATCGATCCATGCGGAAAAGAAACCGTATTGTATATGGTATACCGGAAAACTCAGATGGTCCCCTGGAATCTGTAGTTCTACACATCTTCGAAACTATCCTCAAGATAAAACTAGACGATGCAGATATAGAGGAGGTTTTTAGGATTGGTAAGCGAGCTGAAGGCCGTTCCCGTCCTGTAATGGTGAAAATGGCTAATTTTAAGAAAAAGCTTTTCATTTTAGAGAACGCCCATAAACTAAAAGGTTCTCAGTATGCAATTTCAAACGACTTGGATAGCGAAGAAAGATCAGTTCAAAAGGTCTTACTTCGACATAGATATGAAGCGAAAGAAAAAGGCTATAACGTTCAGATGAAACGAAATGCATTAGTCATAGATGGTGAAGTTTTTGATGTCAACGCACTACAACAAATGGAAATCGACAATGGAACCGAACACAAAAATACGTCAAAGATACCTCCAAACTCGCGCAGCACACAAAACAAAAATTTCGCGGGAAATAAGATAGCCCCTGCACATATATCAAACAATACAGCATCTTGCAATATAGGCAAACCAGCTCTTCTGGCCACAAGCACTGCTACATCCAGCAAATCAGGGTCTTCAAACGAAGTTTTGTCCAACAACGAATCAGAGGTTAACAAGAATGAACATCAAAATGATGACACCCCAACAGCTAAAAGAGGGCGCTATAATTTTCGCAAATAAACAGAGATTCTCGATACTGCATCAAAACATCCAGTCTCTAAAGAGTAAATTTTTAGAATGAAGTATATTTTTGTCTGAAACCCCAGCGGATGTTGTATGTCTCTCCGAGCACTGGCTCAATGAAAACGAAGTTACCTTTTGTAATTTTGACAACTATAAACTTATATCTTCCTTTTGTAGAAAACAATTCATACACGGGGGTACCTGTATCTTTACCAAGAATCACATTGAGTGTAAAAACATTAATACATACAATCATTTGATAGTTGAAAAAGAGTTTGAGTTTTCTGCAGCAAGAGTGGGTAATTTTCTTTTTATCATTTGTATCTACAGGTCGCCAAAGTATTCACAGTTTTCTGAACCATTTGGAAAGCTTGTTATCGGAAGTATTTCGAACTGGAAGCGAGAGATTGGTAGTGTGTGGTGATTTTAATTTAAATTTTCTAGTGCCATCTACTGAAAGGCAACAAATACTGTCAATAGTCGAGTCCTTGAATATGCATCAGACTGTAACCCAACCCACACGAGGTCGAAACTGCCTTGACAATATTTTTACCAATATAGATGAGTTTGATGTAGACTTGAAGGACAGTTGCCTTTCGGACCACGAGGTTGCACAAATATTGCACATAAAAATGGACTCATGTAATAAAGTAGGGCAATATTTTGAATTCAAGCGTTTTGTTACTAAAGGGCGTGAAGAGAATTTTATAAGCTCACTTAATCAAATGAATTGGGACGTGACGTTTAGCCAAGCTGAATGTGTTGAGTCAAAGTTTAGAGTATTTTCTGACGTTTTGATTTCTCTCTACGAACTAAATTTTCCCCTCAGAAAGGTAAGAGTTAAGAATTCAACAAAAAATTGGACAACTTTTGGAATAAGAACTTCCTGCAGAACCAAACGCAAATTACTGCTTCAATGCAAATTTGATGACAACATTGAATTGCATAACCATACAAAAATGTATTGCAAAATTTTAAGAAAAACAGTTGTTTTAGCTAAAAAAAATCACTACAGGAGAGAGATATATTCAGCAGAAAATAAAACAAAGAAAGTTTGGCAAATAATTAAATCCGAAACAAACAATAAACCTAAAAAACATGAGATCCAAGAACTGGTCGTCGATAATGAGAACATAAAGCATCCCGAAGCCTTGGTCAATCATTTTAATTCTTATTTCCTAAATTTGGTTACTCCTCGCGACATTTCTACCCAGGAAAAAACAAAAATCTTAAGTAAAGTTACGTGTCAGAACAATTCAATCTTCCTGTCTCCGGCAGATGAATACGAAATTAATAGAATCATATCACAAGTCAAGTCCAAAACCTCCTGCGGCTTTGATCTCATATCATCTACATTACTGAAAAAACTTTCGCCCGTGCTGTCTAGTGTTTTAGCCTATTTATTTAACTTAAGCCTCGAAACCGGAGTTTTTCCAGATGTTTTTAAACTGGCCCAAGTCATTCCTTTATACAAAAATAAGGGCGAAAAAAAATGTATGTCAAATTACAGACCTATATCCCTGTTGTCCAGCATTTCAAAGATATTAGAGAAAATACTTTACCTACGGTTAATGTCCTTTCTAAACACAAAAAATATTTTGAGTAAGGATCAGTATGGGTTTTTACCGGAAAAATCTACAACCCATGTGTTAATGGCTCTTGACCGTGGTCTCTGTGTGACTGGATTGTCTTGCGATTTTGAAAAGGCATTCGATAGTGTGAACCACCATATTTTGGCTCTGAAGTTGGAGCAACTTGGGATCCGAGGAGTCGCAGGGAACTGGTTCAGTAGCTATCTAACAGGCAGAAGGCAGGTGACAGTCTTGAAGGACGGTACTGGGGATTCACCTCAGGTCTCTCGAGAAGGCGTACTGGTCAGCGGAGTCCCTCAGGGTTTTGTTTTGGGTCCCCTTCTCTTTTTAATATACATAAACGATTTACCGCTGTGTGTTCGTTCTAGTAAGTGCATGATGTTCGCGGATGACACGTTCTTTTTGGCAGTCGCGGACAATCAGGTTGTAGCAGAGAGGAGGACCCAAAGCATAATCAACGATGTAAAGGATTGGTGTTCCTACAACCAAATCAAAATAAACATAGATAAAACCGTAGGTATTAGATTTAGCTTGTCTAACAAAAACACTGCTTTTGTCATTCATAACTCAAACTCTATTCAGTTTGTTAACTCTACAAAATGCTTGGGTTTTTACATTGACGATCATATTAAATGGTCTATGCACATTGAAACACAAAATCAAAAACTAAGTAGATCGTGCTATTGTCTTAAAGTGTTGTCAGCTAAAGGGTTGGATCTCGATTTGTTAAAAACAGTTTACTATGCCAACGTTCATTCAGTGCTGGGTTATGGTATCATGTTGTGGGGTAATGCAAGCGCTAGTCAATCAACATTTATCATTCAGAAGCGGGCTATTCGAACAATGTTAAGAATGAAACCTACTGAGACCTGCAAACCCAGATTTATACAGTTAAATATTTTAACCTTGCCCTCCTTGTATATTTTTGCTGGCACGAAATTCGTACATCAGAACAAACATAAATTCACGTTTTTTGAATCAAATACCAGACAAGCCAAAAATACTATAAGCCTGGAGAGACATTCAACAGCAGCATATCAAAAAAATTCTTTCTATATGTGTGGTAAGCTTTACAATACACTTCCGAATCAGTATAAAGAACTCTCCTTGAACAAGTTTATAAATAAACTGAAAAAAATATTGATATCTAAAGCTTACTATACTGTAGAGGAATTCTTAACTGATAATCTTAGTTATTAAGTTGTTGATAATCGTAGATAAATATAAATTTGGTATATTCTTCTCTCTACAACCTATCTATAATTTTTGCTCTATTATTATACATACTTTCTCGCTTTTTCTTCGTATAGTTAATTTAATGGTAGGTGGTAGGCTTTACTCAATGATTTGTTAAAATGTAATGTCATAAAAATCACTTTTTTATGCCTATTTTGTGTACCTACTTAATGCTATTTTTGGAATGCCCTAATATTTTCAATTTTGTTATTGCCGATACTCACCTGTTTGATCTTCAATAGTGTTTTTTAATTCGTATAAAACAAACTTTCTTGAAATAGTATTACCTATCAACATTTCCTACAACATGTAAATATGTTTTATTGGAAATAAACGAATTTATTATTATTATTATTTAAAAGCTGCTGTCCAGATTAGACTCCGAAACTCAAAAAGTACTCGATAGTATCGTCTAACGTCACAACAAAAATGCGATTCTGAGAATATAGAACAATGCGGCAATTAGACGACAGCCTCATTGAGTGTCGATCTCGGAATCTAGGGTCTGATCTATGCAATGATTTAACATTAAACTAAGCTTAGTATTCTCATATTAACACTCACATACACACACACAAGATTGATGTTACTAATCCAAGAAAATAACTTCTCATGGCCAACAGAACAATAAACTATTTTCTTAATGGTGAATCTAATTTCCCAATCCTTATTGTTTCTTTGAAAAGTTGAATTTCCTTTACTAAAAACCGTGAATTCCTATTCGTATCCATTATATAATCAATATGCTAGTTGCACAATAGTTAATTAATCTATTATTACCTATTAGTTATCCTAAGTTATAGGAATTCCCATAACAACTAAAAGCAAATCCCGGTCACATAATGCACATCACTCATCTTAGTTGGGTTAGCACGCCAGACCGAAATGTGGCAGCAATTCCCCAGATGGCGCTCCCGTATTCTTCAAGGGATTTGCATGATTCACAGATGGAACGGCTTTATTGGACGAGAAACTATTTTGAAAAAAAATAAAAAAATTTATGATATTAAGTGCCCATATCCTACATTAGAGTTGACCCTTGAAAAAACTTTATTCAACCATAATATCCGGTCCAATTTTTGCATTCTTTTTCCGAAGAAATACACATTGTTGTTGATACACAACGTCGGGTATCGAATTTCATCATTAGGGTTAACAAAGCTGGCTAGAGACTCACCTATTCAAACCCAGGCCGCAATAGGATTGAGCGAGATTAGGATCCGCTTAATATGATAAGTGTGTTTTCCTTTTGTGCTTTCACACGGCGGATTAGGGAGATTAGCACGTGCGGAGACTCAGGGGGTCCTGTTTCTATTTTCGAATAGGTGAAACATAGAGTAAGGATACTCTTTGTTATTCGGGATTTTTTACATTGAATGCTGAATTATTATTAATAATGTCAGTTTATTAATAACTGAGTTTGAACATGCCGAAGTGCTACTTGCGAAAGCAAATATATACTGATCTCTGTTGGATGTTTAATCAGCAAATTATATGTTTATACTCAGTAAAAATTACATCGCTTCAACATGAAAATACATGAGCCAGTTTCATATTCTATCATAATTTATGACCCAAGTTTCCGAAGCCAGTCTGGCAAAGCACCATTGAACTTTTTGCCTGTATGTTATAACCACAGGTTATAACAAATTAATAAATTTTTCTGCAAACTACCTCAGAACCTCTAATAAATAAACAATTTCATATCAAAATAAAACAAAAGGTAATTTATTAACAGCCTTCCCCATAAATCACATATTTTTAATTTCAACTTGAATTTCTTCCTACACCCTCTAGTTCAATAACGGTTTTGGTTTTATACTTACGTTCACGATATACC